AGCCAATTGAATAGGCGGTTCTAACAAATTTCCAGGCTCCTCTTTCCTTTCAAAACGCATGACAATGGAATTCTCTGTCTTGCATCACTCGCCCCCACCCGCACCACCTTACCCATCTTGACTTTGTATGTCAAGATGAGTTTTTTCATCTTTTGCTCGATATCTCCCAGCACTCATCACGGTACATAGTGTGTGCTAAAGGTGCCCACAGACAAGCGGCAGTTGCTTACTATGCCAGTCACTTCCTTCCATCCCCACGTCCCTGAGAGACCTAATTGATATTCCGAAGCAGGATTGAAGCTGCATCTCAGGCCCACCTTAGTCATTAGTGAGCCCTGCCGGGCTGTTTGCATTATAATCTCTGATTTAGATTGTGTGTTGCTCCCATGTCCTTTGCCGCTAGGTTGAGTGCGCCAAAGGCCACCGCTATGGGATCCAAGCTCGAATTAGCCCCCCGCCTTGGACGTTTGTAACTGAGGTGAGGGTTGCTGGTCGTGAACTCCCACTTTACGAGGCGGATCAGATGAGCACGTTGATGTCCCCTTGAGTTCTCTCGCAATTTGTGAGGGAAGGGAACACCACCATCTAAAAGGTCCATTTATACTTTTTGTATGGTTAAGAGGGGCAATGAAAAGGCTCCTAAAAAAAGCTGATAAAAAAAAGGATTGATTTTGACAAATGTGCTGCTATGAAACACCAAGAGGAGTGATTTGAAACCTTTTAATAGTTACTGCTGTACCTGTTAGCATGTGTAAGCCAGCTATATCTGCCTGTGAAAGCACATCTGCTCAATTGCATCAGCCTGCTATTCTCTGGTGGGTTGTTCATTAGTGAAACTCAACTGTTAGCACCAAACAAGCACGGATATTCCCCACAGCTCTTGGTTCCCTGATCTAACCTATTTTTTTTACATCAATCACATCACTTCCTCCCTGTAGTCGCACCCACAGCTTAAATGAAGCTGCCTTCTTTAAGGATTCGGGTATCAATACAGCGGAACTCACTTCCCTCGGCAAGGAAACTGTAGACAAATATCAGTACCAGGGGAGGAAATGTGTGTTACAAATGCTCCCATTCTACAATAGACAAAACAACGGTACATTTAATTACAAATACAATGTAACTTCTGTATGACAAAAATAATTGTCTTTCTTAGTTTGAGCAGTTTACAAATAAATGTTTTTACAGGTATTCGTCAAACCATTTGTACAGAGCGTTTTCCATGACGAGCAGCATTGCACATCAATGGATACCCGGATTGTGCTTCCCCTCCTCTCTCCTTGACCCCTTATTTCCACTGAACTATGTCAATATCATCTGGGGACTATATAATCTCTCTTTTTTGGAAGTTTGGAAGTTGGAACTTTTTTGAAGTTCTATGAACTTAACTACTGATGCATTTAAGTCGTTTGTTTTTCTTCAAGCAAATGTGTTTCCTATTTAAGAAGAATAATAGAGACTAATCCAATTGATTTACACGAGAAGAGTCTAAATGACCTAAACAGCGCAGTTGTTTCCGAAATGATCAGTCTAGGAACAATCAAACCGATCTAGAAAAATATAACTTTGCTGCAGTGCCCTTAGTGCAACAAATACACTGAGGTATCTATCTTTCTTCTACAGCTTATTTGGTCATTCTCTGCCTTTATGTGATAGTGAGGAGTGACAAGGAATGTGGGCCCTGCCAGTTGGTGCAGACCATGGCATTTTTATTGGTTCTTCTTCATTGTTTCTGAGACTGAGCCAAGAACAATGTGCGGATGCCCGATGACTCACCTTGACTGAAAATTAAATTAATGGAAAGCAGGCGGGTAAACGGAAGGCTGACTGCTCCAACGGTTTGACCAAATGTGCCAACAAAGGCTGTAATCTCTGTCATTGTGAAGTGGAAGTGAGCATAGGGAAGTAATTATTTGATATTAGAAATAGTGTGAATTCATCCAGATGAAGGAAAGGGGATCTTATGTGTTCCTCTGGAGTCTATTATTACAGGTTCAAACTGCAGATACAGTTTATATTGTTAAACATACTGCTCTCACTGCACTAATAAACTCATTTTGACTGGGGCCTTGTTTGAATTATTCAACTGACCTGTTTTTACATGAAATCAATGTTTCTTAACAGCGAAGGCACATTCCTTCAAATATTTATTTAATAATAATGAAAAGAATCCCCTCCCATGACCCAAAACATTCTCTACAAAATAGCGGGAAATGTTCCACAAAAAATGCAGCGACAGCAATCTTTTAATGTTTTTCCAGCAGATTACAGATGGAAAAGAAAGCTGTAGGACAACTCAATGCTGAGTATGTCAAATTCCTAACCAACTTCACAAAGTGGTTTATCATCATGTCTGATATTGAATACACAAACTTTGTCATTCATTTTTTTTAGAACAACTTTGCTGAACCGTGGCTGCATGGTTCCGTTCTGAATCCTGACACACAGATGAAGCACCTGGATTTGGTATGTGACGGATAGGAGCTGTTCTACGCAGGCAGTCCAACTTTTTGCTGTTTCTTCTGTATGTTTTTCATTGTTGTTTTAGTTTGGATATCAGACAATTTCTTCCTGGAACAAGGAAGGACGAAATAAGTATATAACAAAAGCCAACTCTTGCAACATCTGACAGCTGCAAAGTCGAAAGATTAATATATGAAAGAGATATCTTCCCTAATTATGAGATCTCTTCTCTTTATTTCATCTTGTGTTGTCAGCTGTCAAAATTAGCATGAAATCTTCACCACTCCAAACAGATATCCATAGAGAACAGGCATCATCTTTTGACAAAAGAAATGAGGTATCTGCCCTGATTAAAAAATATGCATCAGTTACAAAGCCTTGTCAGTTTGATCACGAAACTATAATTGCTACGTGTTTCAGGCAGCACTTATTGAGTTATCTTTATAAGACACAGAATTAGGTCAGAATCTGGTACTGTATTGGCATGTGCTTCTATATATATATATCATGTGATGAGAAATAAGTTTGTTGTCACGTGAGAACTTCTTACAACTCACTTGGTTCACAGGATGAACATAGTTCCAAGTACATAATAGCATCCCTATAGCAGCTAGAGGTGGCTCTCAGCAGGACGCTTCCACCCTGGGCTTTCGTCCTGTGCTGCATAGCAACTCCGATCAATGCCTTCTTTCACAGAACTTCACAGAGTACATGGTGTTTCTAGCAGACGGGAGACGCACACAGCAGTCACACAAAAACAACCAAACCTGACTCACAACTCCGAATAATCTCTGTGGAATGTTTCAGTGAAAGGATTTCAAAGCTCTCTATTGGTCTGCCTCTTTAAAGAAGAATTTTCTTTTTCTTGAGGAAAAACCCCCTGGGATCAATCTGTAATTAGGCAAAAGAACGTTGAGCTTAATATTGCTTAAAAAAAGCCAAAATGTCCATGTATTACTAACGTAGGAGTGGGAGGTTAAAACAAGACTGATCTATAGCAACTATCCTGAGTTTAAAAAGCACTGAACAAAGTGGGACACTGTAAGCCCGAAAGAATCTGACACTGTCTTTCCTCAAAGTATTTCTCCATTTTGTGTCACTTTCAAGCAAAATCCCCTTATGCGGTATTGCAGCAAGAAAGGTCTACACACACTGGAATGGAGCAAGTGAAGATACTTTGGCTGTCACATGGCAATAGAATACATGCTTGTGGTTGGGTTGGTGAAAATCTGATTATTAAGCAGGAGCATGTTAACTTAATAACACTTGATTTTAGATTACAAATGTGTCCGTTTTTAGTACTGTAAATGGGTGGTGAGTCATTGCATGGCTGCATAAGAAACTAGCTCTATGTCTGTAGACCCATGTGTTACAGGTATAGTAATGACATCATATCCATTTTGAAGAAATTATGTTCCACTCCCATGGCCATTTATTTTCCCTAAATACTTCTCCATACAGTCCACCCTTCAGGAATGATCATGATGGAGCTTCTCTTGTGCGTTTGTGGGAGATGACTTCAATTGATATCAGCGTTTGTGCATGAAGACGTTTTTTCTGGCTCCCGTTTCAGGTAATATGAACGTTAACTGCTACAGCCCTGGAGAAATGGTGTCCTTTATTTACACAGTGGCACATTGTGGCCATTGCCCAAGCAATGCATGCATAGAAAAAATACCCTGCAAACTGCCAAAAATCAGATTCTGTCTGCATGCACTCACTCTATCAATGCAAGCATTAACCAAGCGGCTTTAAGTTCCACATCAAAGTGTTTATTAATGAATTGTATCTCTGAGCATTTGTGTAAATTAGTATCTCAGAGTGAAACGTAGCTTTGATAGTATTCACAGACGTTAGCCCACGCGGTGTTGTCGTGCTGCGGAGCTCTGAATGTATGCATGTCTTTTGTGCATTCAGCATAGTACAAGCTGAAAGAGGAATGAAGGGTGGAGAGAGGCGTTCATGTTTGTGTTGGTGGGAGGAGGGTTTGCTACCTTCCTAATTGACGTCACTTTGATATTTCTTTGGGTGGAGGAGACCAACCACATGTTGTAACATACCCAAAACAAGAATGTTGACAAATTGTGTTGTAGATACAAGACTACTTTTTCCTATAAAGTCACACTACGGATTACAGGCAGCTGCTTGTTTGCGCTTAGAGGTTGGAAATAACCTGCTGTGTGAACTGCATCGGTGTGGTGCTGTGTCCTTATTACCAGTCATTTCCCATCTGCACATGGTTATTGGATTTCTTCAAGGTTTAAAGACAAAGTGAAAACATAACACACCTTTTTAAATCACCTTAAGAAAAAGCAAGGTCATGTTCTGAGTATGCTTGTATTGTACAGGATGAAAATAGAAAAAAAAAACCTTTAAAGTGTGATGTGTTCTATGTGCGACCGCCTTTGCAGATGGTGAAGTTGACTGTGGAAGCCTCAAACCCCCCCTAGCTGCTGCAGGTCAGGAAACATCACTAGCACTAGGGCCATGTGGGACCTCTCCTTAAAAAAGTTTTTTCACAGCCTATTGTAAGCAATCGGGCAAATAGAAGCCTGCCGTCCTGCAGTGCACAGACAATTCTTTCCAGAAGGCAGAAAGCAATGCTCAATCTACTGACAAGCAAGAAAACAGACCGACAAGAAGTCAGGAAATATCCTCACAGCAACAGACAACAACACCCCCAGTGGGTCTTCTAAAGCTAACTTTAACTCTCATGGGTGTGATTGCTTTTTTTAATTCACATTCAACCGCCTCTGTTGTTGGCAGTAAAGACCTGCAGATGAACTCAACTACAGGCTTAGTTTTCAATCCTGCGTCTGTCTCAACAAACTGACCAAAGGTGTTTTTTTGACAGAGCTGCAGGTGGTTTGCGTTTACGTTGCTGGTGGACAAGATCTTTTTTTTTTACCGTGTGGTGACCTGTGGCATCTTTTGAGCCAGTATGTTGTCTATTGTTGTGGCATGTTTGGTTTTCTTCCTGCTGGGCTCAGGGCAGGCTCAGGTGGCCACACAGACCCGGCAGCGGAGCCAGAGTCAGGGCCAGGGGCAGGACAGCTCTGCAACCCCATGGAGGCAGGTTATACAATGGGAGAATAATGGGCGGCTGTTTAGCCTGCTGAATAGTGGGGCTGAATATGTCCCTGCTGGAGCGGGGGCCCAGGACGGAGGTCCCAGGGTAGTTGTGGCAGACGCTCGTTCTTCACAAAGACCTCAGGGGAACAATGTCCGGCGACAGGCCCCACCAAGAGGATCCTCTGACACTGTCCGTGGGCAGGCACGGCATCCCTTTGGATTTGGGCAAGTACCTGACAACTGGAGACAAACTGCTGGCAGCACAGGGGGTACCCAGTTCCAAGGATCTTCAAGCTCTCGCTTCAGGCCGTCCACAGGATCTTCATCTTCGTCATCATCTTCATCATCCTCATCATCCTCTTATAACATACCATCTTACCCACAGAACCCATTTCCGCAGCAGACTCCCTTTCAAGCAATACCGTATGACCCTGGTTATTTAGCAGGGCCAGTCAGGAGCTATGAGCCACCTTTTCAGCCTGTTGCCGGAGGAGGATATGCCAGCAGGACATATGGCGGTGGAGGGCATGGTGCGGGGCAGGGGTATACTGGTGGAGTGTATGGAGATCTGAACCCAGTGCTCCCAGCTTCTCCCTTTGATTTTAGTGACGATGGCTACCGTTATCACCAGTCTTATGGCTTTGCACCCAATCCTGAAGTACCTGAACGTGCTGCCCAACCACCATTTGCTGATGGTCTGGACCACAGATACACCCACAGTATTTTCAACGGCGAGACCGCTCCTGCTGTCCATGCACCTGATGCTAACCAGGCAGCTCCGGTTGTAGTAGACAGAACTGGAAGAGCTGGTCAACCACAAGAAAGGAGCCCTCAGCATGAGCAGTTTCCTCCATTTGGAAGACCTCAGCCTCCTTACCTGCAGCCCGTTCCTCCAGGCAGAAGTTCTCCAAACTCTGGCCTTGAGAATCCAAGCATGAATGTCGGCAGTGTGTACAGACCACAACAGAGAGGTACGGTCAGCTTTTTTTGCTTTGGGTTTTGTCTGATTTGAAGCCAATTCCAAGGTGCTTAATAAATTATTTTAACTTTTCAGTGGAAACAGGGTATATATTTACTTGTTTTGATTTCTGTAGTTGCTGAACAAATGAATTCAAAAATGTTTGCAAGATATCTGGAGCTTTTCAGTTTACAAACGAAGCAAAGTGGACACAAGGTTCATCTTTTTTCATTCGTATGGTTATTGAAACCAGGCTTGTGGAAACCCTGCCAATATAGAGCGAGCACACAGGAACCCCTGTGTTTTTTGTGTGGGCAGGTCTGTGCTACACAAAAGTAGACTGGTTCACGCGGCTTGTTGAGCTTGGTAATGGTAGTGGTGACCTCATAGGGGGTCTGGTGACAGGGGGCGTTGAGGGGCCGTGTCTGCCTCCTGGACGTGAGGGGAAACAAGAGGGGGGGGGTACAGTAATTCACTACTCCCTGGGGGGGAGGGGGGAAGATGGAAAGTCCCTGTTACACATGGCGTCCATTGCATCAGCTACAGGAAATCATCAGTGAGTGTTAAAATGTGCAATACCTTGGCTTAAATAATATATTTTCACAAAGTGCTGTTATGGGAGACATTTCTCTTGCGCTTAATGTTAATGCGGGAGGGAAACATGACTTAACTAAATGCAAACAACATGTGGAGATGTTCTATGCTCTTACCAGAGGCTGTGTCTGGTCTGAGCTGACAGAAGTCAGACTCTTAATAATGCAGATCTACCTTTTGTGTTACTCAATGATCTGCCTAACTCTGCTGCAGTCTCTGCAGTAGTGAACCGTGTGTGTTGCAACCATCATTCATTAGTCACTGTATTACCGGCAGCCATTTCTAGAGTACAAAAAACCAACATGTGTGCAGATGCCTGAGAGCTCCCAGTAATCACTGTGATGAAGGTGCCACCATTGGAAGCTGTTGGAAAGCTGACATTTTTATTGCACTTCGTCATGGTACAACATTAAGCTGTTACTGTACCATAATAACTATCGTGGTGTGCGAGTTTTGGATTTACTTAACATTTCAGTCAACACACAAGCATATATTTTAATCATATTAATGCCAATTCTATGGGCAATGTTGGGTCCTATTAGAGGCAGTACATAACACACTGCTATATCTCAAAATAAACATAGCTTGCAAAGACCTAATGCTTGTAGAATAATAGAAATCCTTTTTTCAATTTTAAATCTATCACCTGGCAAAATGTATTTTTGTGCATTAAAATATAACAGAACCTAAATTGCTTCAGGGTAGGTTTAGCATGGCTGCACTAACCAGAACCACTTTCCAGTCGTTGCATTTAACTATTAAATGGTTGGAAAAGTTGTTCACAGAATCACATATAATGAACAGGCTTTGACCCACAGCCAAACCTACAAGGGGTTGGTGGTAGCAGAGCGTGGCAGAGAGCAAGAACATTACACGACACTCTGTATGTAGTCAGTGTTCAAAGTGAAACAGATTCATTTGCATCTGTTTTTTTCTCAATATAAAATGCCGTCCCGTCAGTCAGCAAGGGCTTTTTATTGTGAAAAAACTGAACTCAAGTTCGTATCAAGTTCAGCTTGAATACTAAGGTTGAAGAAATAGATGGTGTGCTCCTAAAGCGTAAAGTTTGTCTATTGTCCTTTTGACCTCTTGAGAAAAATCTTTTTGTGTTTTCAGATAAATGGACAAAGCACAGATTCTGATCGACAATGAGCTCAATTTGAGAACATATATAATGTATTCACAAATGTCGTTTACTCTGGTATGCAATATATATTCTTTCCAAAGGGGAAATTGTTGATTATCATAAAAAAAAAATTACCCAGCAACATAAGCTGTGATACTCAATGTTTAATCATCAAACGCTATTTTCATTTTTAAAACTACCTCAAAGAATTTTGATTCATCACTGCAACAGCCCGGCACTTAAAGCAGGAGTATGTAGGGAAGAGCCCTGGTGTATTTTATGGCGCTACATAAGATGGTATAAAATGCAAAAGGCAAGATTCAGTTTCTTTTCTCCCTGCCCCACTCAGAGTGTAATGTATGGCTTTGTCAAATGCTGTCGTGAGCCGATCAGCTCTGGCTTCTCAATACACTTGATCCCTCTGAAAGACACACAATTTCACGTTTCAAAAGATTAGGGACCAGGGAACAAAGCCTTTCTAGGGTGTGGGAGACAGAAAAATTGCTTGAGACTGCTGTGGGAAAAACCCAGGAGGCTTCTCCAGTTCTGTACGTCTCCCTTGGAGAGAGCTTTTACACAGTATATGATGTTTACACAGTGGTCGCACAATGCTTACAACGTCAAAGCCCCTATTTAAACTTGGAGGTGAGAGGGAGGACTTACTGGGGTGTTAAACTGGGCCAAGTCTGCATTAACCGGCAGTTGCCAAAGCCCTTTGTGTTATTCTAAAAACGGAGTGTTCTTTTATTATCTTTTCCATAGTTTAATTTGGCATTTTTTTGTGATTTCATTAACACTTCCAAGTGCAAGCATGTGTGAGTGTCTGGCCTTTGAATGCTAAACACAATGGGTTGATTAGTTGCCCCAGAAACCCTTGCTGGCATGGCTTTTACTGGGAATGGAATAGAAATACTTTTTTTGCTCTATTCTTTACTTACAGACCGGGTCAATTGCCCACTTCCAAAACAGCAGTGGAGTGAGATCACTGTTGTTTTTGCCCTGGCACGCACGTTCTCCCACCGTGTCTCTGTCTGGCTCTCTTGCTTTATCTCTGTGTGCCTGCACCTTTCCTCATCTCTTCATCTCTGTCACTTGTTTGCAGAATGAAAAACACAGGATGCATTACAACAAGCTCCCCTGTGATGCTGCAGCTCTTACTTACAAGTTTAGCCTTATCCCAAACAGATATGACTTCTGAGTTTACTATATTAAAAGTTTACCCCAAGTGGCGTGTTCACATCCAGATGCAAGGTGCACATTAAAGATCACATGACATTAGCCAACTAATTTAATAAAAAGTCATTAGTGGCCAAAAGCTCTCTCCAGAGCAGGGGTGTCAAAGTCATTTTAGGTTTGGGCCAGATACTGCATACATTGATCTCACGTGGGCCAGACCAGTAAAATCATAAGTCCGGTTTTAGACATATACAATGAGGTCTAAAATGTTCTTTGGTTTTCTGTGTTCGGAGTTGATTTATACGGTTTTAGATTTGTCGGATTTGTAGTAAGTTTGGATGTTTTTTGTAAAAAGGCGGAATTACAATGTAGGTTGAGCAGTCTGTCCATCATTCTAGGTTTGCCCGACCTGGTTCCTGATCCTAACTATGTCCAGGCTTCCACATATATCCAGAGAGCCCACATGTACTCTCTCCGCTGTGCTGCTGAAGAAAAATGTCTTTCAAGGTAAGCCCGCTTCTAGAAGTCTTTTGCTCTCTTAGGTTTATTCATTCATTTATATATTTCTTTATTTTTGCAATGGGTTCATTCTACGGTGGTATCTTAATATCTTAAGGGGGGGAGGCACACCCGATAGACATTTAATTTGGGGTATGTGAGATGTAACCTGTCCACTTTGTATCCATGCATTAACAACGGATCAGGTTTTTATGTAATAATGTTCTTTATAAACTGATTACCTTTGGGAACCATTAACCAGTGAGTATAAATATACTGGTGGCCTTCAGGATCACACCTGTTTGTGCAATAATATCTAAAGGAAATAATGAAAAAAAGATGACCAACAACACAATGTATGTCAACGGAATACCAGTCACCTTCCGGAATGGACACTGTTGTTGTTGATTAGCATCCCAAGAGCCTTGGGCCTGCGCCCTTCCACTGCCTCTTTACTAAAGGCACTATTTAAATGATGCAAGTGTGCCGCCCCCATGGCTGCTCCATTTGCCGTCTTCCCAATACAAGCACAGCCATCCCTCAAAGCCTTTTCATATCCTGTCTGATTTGCAGCAATCACCCACAGATGGGCTGTTGTAATTTACAACACACTCCAATGTCAACAACGGCCACAAGATGAACGGATTAGAACTTTACTCCTTTTTCACACAAAAAAAGTAAATTGCGCAACAGCATGTTCCCTCTGTGTTGAAACTATGTATGTGGAGAGATGGTTGTATTCTGTAGAATGAAATATTTAGTAGATACTCTAGTGCCTCCGGGCCTTTCCGGTGCTGCAGTTTTTTTTCTTTGGTCTTTCTTTGGACATTCTTTTTGCAACCAGTTGTCCATTTTTCCTCAATGTGTTTGGTCCTGATATATGTGTCCACCATTCAGCTCCGCCTATGGCCCTGATGTCACAGACTACGATGTAAGGGTCTTGCTGCGATTCCCCCAGAGGGTGAAGAACAGGGGGACCGCCGACTTCATGCCCAACAGGCCACGTCAGACCTGGGAGTGGCACAGCTGTCACCAGTAAGTTCTTAATGCAAAACACATTTCACCCACTCAGGTAATAATGCTGTGTAATCTGTTTCGGTAACTAGGGAGATGAAGTATTGTTTATGTAACTTATATCTGAAAACAAAAGCTGGTATACGTTGACATCCTTATACAACAAGGTTGCTGCAATATCACAAATTAGCAGGATATTATTATTTATGATATTAACATTCTAAAAGTTGTAAAGTTGTGTGTGTGTGTATATGCACACACAAAATACTCAATTCTACTAATACTTAATTTTTACACAGTTTTGTGGGTTTGATCATTTTAGAAACCGCCTCAGTGCCTCTGTGGACAGATTTTAGTTAATTTAGCAAGCCAGTTGTTGCTCTGGGGTACTGCTGATTAGAGGGTTTCGTCAGTGTTTTATGACAATTTATTCTATAGGCTTTTATCTCAATGTTGGTGCCAGGCCCTACTTTACTATTCTCATCTTAGAAGAATGTTGACTGGCCGTTAGGAGATTGGCAGTGTTGTTTCTGTCTGGCATCAGTCTGCATCTACGCTGTGGTTCCCAGGAGGCACAAAGCCAAGACAATCATTCCACTGGCTGTGCGATTGGAATGAAAAATCAATCCATTTCTCCTGTCGATGCGTGACACCAGATCACACAGCTACTAAATTATGATGGCATGGATATGGGTTACTAGGACAGAGTGTTAACAAAGAATTCTCTTTAGTGGAAGAAAACCTCCAGTTCAAATGCTCACAATAAACTTTCCTGCCCTACATTTCTGTTGAATAAGCTGTGTAGTTGACAGGTTTTGCTTTTCATTACTTTCTCCCCCGTCTTTCTCACTGGAGAATTGGAAGAAGGGAAGGGAACAGCATCCTCCTGAGAATCATGGTGCTGTGAAAATGTTGGAATTCTATTTTTTTTTTTTTTTTTTTTACACAAACGAGAACACAGAATTCCATTAAAACCTATTTTTCTATTCCCATCCGTGTGGGGAAACAGGTGGAAGTCATTAAAACACCCGGCTTATTTGGCATAACTTCCTTGTCCGGTGCAGAATAATGTCTCTCTCTTTTTGTACCTTACAGTACAACTTTAAGTCCGGGACCTCTGCGGTCAGAGTTCATGGCCGCTATTTGTTCAGGGGCTTAGAAGTATATCTTCATATCTTGGTGTTTTTCTTGTGGAGTGCAGATCTCGGGCCAGCGCTAAATAGTTCTCAAACAACCTGCTTTTGGTTCTCTGTGTTTTACAACACAGCACAGTATGTTTGTTGCTACAGGAGTGGAAAATGACTCGGTACTTTAAAGAAGGATTGGAATGTTTTGAATTGTATTGCACTTGTTACAATTGCAAATAACTCTTGTTAAATCCTGTACTTGTCCTTCCAACACTACATTCTCTATAGTTGACATAGTCAGAGTGGGGATCCAGACAGGGGACTCTTCCAGGAACCTCAATCTTTTTTCTTGCTTCCCACACTGTTTCTTTCTATTTCCCACACACATACAGTATACTGGTGATAATCATCTCAAGACTGCGACTGAAACGAACGCCAGTTCTGAGAATACAAAGACTGTGTTTCAACCTTTTGGAGGCCCTCCTGCCCTGGTTCATGGTTTATCTATAGATGTGTGAATACATAGACATATGTGCCCCATATAGAATACGCCTGTAAACGCACTCAGTCGTGTTAATTTGCATGTTAATCAGAATGTAGACAGGGTTCTGCAGCAGGTAAGAACCGACAGGTTTCAAATCTGACAAACGCTCATAATCAGTGGCCTGCGCTATGGAAAAAATTAGTCCTCCAATGGCAATTCGCTCCATTAGTGCAAAGTACCCACGTCATCCTTCAATCTTTAATCACTGTTCCAGTAAAAGCTGTTGCTATGTTGTAACATGGGCTACGTAGTAAGGCCAATATTTATATATCCTGAGTTTGTGTGACTTCAGGAGATCCAGTGCTCAGCAACTAAAGTCAACACCACTGAATACAAATTGTATTCAGGTCCACAGACATCATGGCATCCTGCCTCAAGACCTTAACATCAAAAAAAGAAGTATTACAGGACTAAATGGCTAAAGGCCCATCTTCCTGAGTCTTTTGAACGACTGGTCCTGACTCAAAACCATCACCAACCTGCTCCCGGACCCCCTGCAGTTTGCCGGCAGAGCCAAGAGGTCTGAAGATGTTGCAGTCAACCCGGCCCTTCCCTTCCTCCTAAAGCATCTGGACACCTCAACAACCCACGTCAGGATGCTTCAACATTCAACGCGGTTATCCCGTCTGTGTGGCAGGAAAAACGCCACGCTGAATGTGCCCAACTCCACCTGCAAGTGGATCACAGACTTTCTGTCTGACAGGAAGCAGCACGTGAAGCTGTGGAAACACGTCAAAGTCTCTCAGACCATCGATGTCGGTTCACCCGGGGCTGCATTCTTTCTCCGCTGCTCTTTTTCTTTTCCCTGTATACCAACAGCAACTGCTGGTAAAGGACGGACTGGTTGAGTCCAACCTTTTCCTCCTCCGTACCATCTGTTACGTGTCATTCATTCTGGACAGGACCAAGAACCTACGCCGCAAATACAGGGTCACCAATAAAGCCGGGGAACCTCAATGACTCACACAGAGGTGCTAGTCATACAGCTGTTAATATTGCAGATGATTTAAAATAGAACAGCTCTTTGACAAAGTCACTTGGTTCATACTGCGGATCAGCTGAGATGATCAGTGGCCCTGTGCATCCAAGCTTCCCTAAGCCGCTAAAGCTGTGCAAACAAACACAATTCAAACAGCGCACAAACACGGACACATCTGTGCTCGTGCATGAAAATCGCTCCACTTGTACACACATACATAAATGCACACACACACTATCACACACAAACACTTCTGATCTCGCCGAATGATCCAAGCTAATTAATAAGATTCATACATCATTAGGGTGTTAATGTCGTGCTTCAGCAATACTTTATTGTTGCCATTAATTAGCATGCATTGTCCTTTGGTACTTCATAATGTGTTCAGTCAAGGTGCAACACCACTTGTTAGCAGATGAGTTCAACAGTTCAGTCAATTCACTGATGGCCTTTAAAGTTAAAATTCAACTTGCTTACGCTGTATTTCAACAAAACGGCAATGTAATTAACAAACGAATAAAGACGTGGGTTACATTTCTAGGCACTGACATGCCATAACAGATAACACTGGATTTAACTTAATATTTCAGCTAAACTTATTTATTTGACTTTTGGTGACATTCACAGTCAGTTTTGCTTCTTCCTGCAGGCACTACCACAGTATGGATGAGTTCAGCCACTATGATTTACTGGAGGTCAGCACTGGCCGTAAAGTAGCTGAGGGGCACAAGGCTAGCTTCTGTCTGGAGGACACCACTTGTGACTTTGGCCATCTGAAGCGCTACGCCTGTACCACTCACACTCAGGTAACTCGGCAAACCAAAATTTAACCAAAATCGGAATTACGTGTGAGCGTCTCTTTCCTCCTCACTGTTTCTCCAGGGTCTGAGCCCAGGCTGCTACGATACGTACAATGCCGATATCGACTGCCAATGGATCGATATCACGGACATCCAGCCTGGAAGATACATACTAAAGGTAAGAGTCACGTGAGGCCCATCCTCTTGTCTTATTTTCATGTACACATTATTTGCTGAGTGTGGCTTGACACACAAAAAGATCTTTCCATGAATTTGGCCAATTGAAAAACGGCCAATCAGCTGTTTTTTGATTACGGTGAGTTGTAATGTGCCTTCCATGCTTTGTGCCTCAGCTCCAGGTTAATCCCAAATTCTTGGTGCTGGAATCAGACTTCACCAACAATGTGGTCAGGTGTAACATACACTACACGGGACGGTTTGTTACCACAAACAACTGCAAGATAACACAGTAAGTCAGACTGAAGGGACTCTATTTTAACACAACGCTGGTAATTTATTAATAATTAACATGTCATTTTTAAAGGGCCTCTATAAATGATCCATGTTACCGTAGCCTGATGCTTGTTGGAACAGCTTTCAAATGTTGTGTTTTTGTTATGGTGAACTAAAAGGCACAGTGTCATGTTCTCATAGTGTTGCACTGAACAACATAGTTTTATAAAGCACCTCGTAATGTTTTGAATTACTTAGCAGATTTAATGGGTTTCTGGCTGAAATATTTGATGATTGAATTACGTTCTCATTCTCCATTTAAGATTAATTGTCTCTGAAACTTATATAGTCTCATATTCTCCTTCCATCGGAAATGAAGGAGTGTTGAACTCAATAGTGTTTTAGGAGGTGTATCATTGCACTTAGAACTACAATTACTATCCTTTTGAAAATACTTAATATGGAGAGAGTCTATACGTGAGGACAGCATCATTAGGTCCAAGTGCTTTAGTCTGTCTCCCTTGGTGGAAGTGGTACAGTAAAAATATACACTTCAAAATATGTTTGCCGAAGCATTTTTGGAAAGCTGAATAACTTTAGTTAGTAAGTGATGCCAATGAGATAATTGTATTAGCAGATGCCACAAGCTTTATTTCCATCGTTAATATCGGATATTTGAAAAAAATCAATATTTGAAGAAGAATCCATTTACATTATGTTAATGTATGTAATTATACCGACACTGGTTACATACATTGCCTGTCGAAATTAAAGTCAAATAATTGTAATCATCATTGAATATGAATCAAATGCATTAATATGACAAACAAAAGAGCCTACACAATTGGCATCCAAAATAATGCGAACGGAATTTATTTCAAAGACAGCAGCGAACCTTTTCTGAGCAGTTATTTAATATGTCCAGTATCTCATGTTACAGGAGCCTGGAATGTTCCCTCAACAAAAGTGTTTGATTTTGTCTGTTTATTTTACAGGTCTTGATCAGTCACTGGAAGACTACAACACTAAAGAGACCCTGATTGCTATTCCATTGAAATGTGAATGGAATCCTTTTATTGTCGGTGCATTGTTGTTCGTCTTAAATATTTTGTAGTGTCTCAGTATCCTGGTTGCCTATAGCAAACAATCTTTCCACAGGCACTGAAAATAATGTGGAGGTTTCAAGTGGACATGCACACACATACAGTGTTATATAACACATCATTTCCTCTTGAAATCCCAATAATGATCAAATTACATTCTTTTAATGTACGTACCTCACAAGATTGTCGTACCAACTATATTTCTCATGTTGCATCTCTACCAGTCTGTTTTGGTTGGTGTTGGAATACAAAGGTGTATTACTGTATCTGCACATGTGGCCGTGATTGAATTATAAATAAAGTGTGAAATGGTGGTGGTGCTGAAATAAGTCAGGGTTCAGCTGCGATCCAACAAATAAAATTAGGGGACAGAGTCTTCCCAGATGCATTCATCCATGCCTTATGGGGACAGACAGAGATTTCCCCTGTGACTCAGAAGAACTATAATGTGTGTTAGTATTTCTTTTCTTTTTTTTCCACCACCTCAGTGGGTCACGCTGGGTTACTGTGAGCACATCCAGTCTCATGTTGTGTTAACAGCAAGAGGAAGACAGCAGGGCATATTTGCATTTGTCGAGTCCATCAAATTTGAAGGCAACAGAGCTTTTAATACTTGTTGCTGTCTTCCTCTAAATCCTTTATTATTATGTTTTTTTGCCCTCTCGTGACCTTTATGTGGGTAAAATATGAACAGGAAGCTCAGCAGAAAACCTGACTCACACTATGTAAGCTGTATATTAACACTGTTTGGGGTCTCCTCTTCAACTACCAACACTGGTCAGATGCAACACAGGTCATCTATACCATTTGGAGAATGTGGATACAAATATTCAAGTGATGCATAACTTTAATAATGGAGAGTATTTTACCGTAGGTAATTTTACTATGTTTATCCAGTTTGATCTGTTACTGTAATTTGTTAAATTTAGCTTGTTTTTTTGTTTTCTTTGATATGGTATTAATTATTCAAATCATTGTCAGAAAAAGACACTATGGCTACAGAAATAAGCATCATAACCGAGAGCATTAGAAAGCCATCTCTACCTCTCCAACTGAGTGAGCTTTTACCTGTTAAGGGTTTGGTTTCCAAATGTTAATCCCTGCAATGGTTCTCGATAGTCACCTACCACTGTGTTGAATCACAAAGCTAAAGAATTATTCCATTGAACATATCAAAGATCATATAGTGTTGACATGTGAACAATCAGGGAGTAATATTCCAACACTTAAAGTAACAATCCTTAAGATCTCACATCTGTGGTTACAGATAGGAACAGCAAATGTGGTGTGATGCTTAATCAAACGCTCCTTGAGTAGCGACTTTGTAAGTAGCAGTACAGCAACGTGTTTATCTGTTTACAAACCAAACATTCCAGAGTTTTATTAAAGAAGTCAGTCAATAATTGGACTCCCTCCATCACGCCATGAGCAACTGTGATGTGATTTTCTAGTTTTCCACTCAACAGCGGGGCACAGAAACAGAAGTGGTTATCTTGCTGAAAGGTTGGAGTTGTATAGTCATGTTACATGCAGCTCCTCATCAACTGCTCACTGTGACTTACTTCTCATTCCATCAATGCCGGCAACATTTAAAACAGATCCGCTGCAAACTTGCTGACATTGTAGTTTACACTATCAGTGGGGAGAAAAGAATTTCTAGGACTGCTTTTTCCAATTAAAGCCCCCCCCCATTTTGTAGACCAGCAGCCAGGACATATTTGTGTGCATTAATGCAGTTGAATAACAATTTATATTACAGGGAAGATGGTTTGAGTTGTTCTCTTTTTTTTAGTTCTTGAGTTCTTCCAATGCATAATACACCTGGTCTTTGGTATTCAAGTCATTATCTAAATTAACTGTAAATGATCATACTATATGCTCATTGACGAAATGCAACACATGTGTTTCTGAGATTCAGTGGAATGACACAACAAGTGTGGGTGACACCAAAATGGCATCTGTGGCATCTTCAAAAATGTCTTACATACAATAAATGTATTTACAGATCCGTTGTGTGCACTCAATGGATCGCCAGGCTTCAGATGAGGTTTACATAGAATCCGTACCAGTTGATTCTGAGGAAATGCTGTGTGACAGGTGTGACAAGTTACCAAAATCATCCCCATCATAAGAGATTAGGTGTAATATGTTTAATTCATTATGGCATTTCCCCAGCCACTGTGTGTCATTTGTCATGCATGATTCAGGCAGGGTGGCACATCTGAACTCTATGAGAACAGAAAAACACACACTGCATGTAAGAGGTATGCAAACAGTGAACCCAACAACTGTGTTGGTGCGGTGCATAAATTAATTGGTTGATTTAGCGTTTACCTTTGTCAACATATTACGTGGACATCCTGGAAAACAATCTGCTTGGGTCGCATGCTTTGACCACACAGCCAAAGATACATTACTTTCATCATGGTCAAGTTTTTAATTACAAATACAGGGAACATGACAACCAGCAGGGAGAGAAGCTTATAACGTTTTCAAGCTCAACATAGATCTACACAAAAAGTAATAATCATCTTTTCAGAAAAGGAAGTGATTCATTGACTATCTTCTGATTATTTTTCCTCTACATTGTTGAAAGGTTCTAGAAAGACTAGAAAAGATTTGGATGTTGTTCCTCATTGTCACGGAGGCACATAACTTTGAACGGTGGTATTTTGGATGTATAAACTGTGATAACATGCATTTCACAGTGTGGGTTTCTGTACTGTGACAGGCTTCTCCTACTCCATCAAGCACCACCTTAACCGGCCTTTAGATGTGGTGCATGCATATACCCTCATGTCCAGGCATTCCTCCTGCCCTACTACATTCACCGTTCCTCTTAGATTTCACACCCTCAGCAGCTACACATTCCTTGCATGGTGCATGTACGTTCACGTTGTGCAAGGGGCAACCAACTAACTTAAAAACATATTTTAGAAGTTATTAATTCAGATTTCTGCGTATTCCGTCTGCTCCTACCACTGTTATGAACAGTTTTTTGAGGAAATCAGTGATTAATATATGTTGATATATGTTGGCTAAATGTGTGTGGGTTATGTGTGAGCCTATTCACTATTTGTTGTTTTTGTCTGGTAGGAGGGGTGGCTGTCATGAGCCCATATTCTGCTTAATTGCAGACACAGCTTGTGTGATCATGTGATTATCTGTGAGGAGGATTTTCATTTGCATTGAGTTTTTTTAACAGCGCTCACGCCTGCGATGCTGTTTGCTCCAAAAAGTGAATGGCTTGTTTTGGTTTCAGAGCTGAATATTATCATAGGTAGATGATAGAAGAAGGAGAGACAGTTGGGCAGGTAAGTTGATTTTTATCCTGACAATGGAAGGGATGGTCGGGGGGGGGGGGGGCTCAGTCAGGGTTCACTATCAAATGAGATAAAACTGAATTTTAAATTAGGTCTTTTTAAGTCGACAGTATACATTTTACAAAAGATCAAATGCAATTGTGGGGCTGTAAGATTCCATTCATATGTGCAATGTACCTAATAAACTGGTAACAAAGTATGGTTTATTTCAGTTGTGAAATAGGATATTTAAAAGACACAGACATTTCCCGTAAAAGTATTCCCCCTAGGAGAGTGAGAATCTATTATCTAATTGTTTTTATACGCTCATATTTGGCCTGTCCTAACTAAAGCCTGACCCCCGGGATGGGACTTCCTTTTGGTATGGGCTGTTTGTTCAGGCTCTCCACATAAAATCACCCCATTCCAGCTCTCTATGCGACATAACGTTGTTTGGTTAAAGTGCTGTAGCAAGGGCAGCCATGTACTTAACTTTGAGAGAGAGAAGAAAGATATGTAACTCCTAATGATGGGGAGAGAAGGCAATGGATGTGATTAATTGTTTTACTTTTCCAAAAAAACAATGGACAGTTTTTGCCTGTCTTGTTGAAAGGTTTTAGTGTTATATATCTGTTTTTGATAACACGCCTCTTTTTTGTGTGTTCTTCTGCAACTTCTGGTTGAGCAGCTTAAATTAAGTCTTATGACCCTTTGTTGGGTTCAGGTAGCAATGCTCAATGTGCCTTGGGAGCCTCTTTTACAGTGCAGCAATTCTTTCAATTTATTAAATGATTTAGGTAAATTTCTTGCAACAAATGCATATGCAATTGCATTTATCAGGAATGTGCTAGAGGGTGTTTCCACAGTGAATTCAAACTGTGTGCAATTCTGAGTGGCGCACATAAAGTTACCCTAAGGGGTGTACGAACCCAGATCCCACAGACACATATTGTATCGCTGAGATATGGAATATACATGATGCACAATGCTGGAGCAAACGCAAGCACGGTCTAACTAGAGCAGGAGGAGACATGGACCATACATTAGCATAACGAGCTGCATGTATTAGGAGGAAGAGTTTGTATAAATGTTCAGAACAGCTGGTCAGATTACAAGGTGATTGGAAAAGTCAAATGATTCTGATCAGCTGGCAGGATGTGCACCGTCACCTTTTCTCCCTGAACCCATCGTTCAAACCATAAAACATTCAGCAATTGGGGCTCCATATCTTTAAAGCTACTTCCATAGCTATACATTTCTATGCAGCAACGTGCATCTTCCCTTCGATAGTTCCCTGCAGGCCTGAGCTCTGCAAACCCAATCAAAAGAATATGTGGTAACAGTATCCAGAAAAAAAGGGAACAAGCCATACAGAATAGGTTACAACATGACAAGAGCAAATCCATTACATATGTAAAGGCTTGGCTTCAGGCAGGAAAATGTTAATGTCTGATTGTCGATAAGCAGAAGATCTGTATTACAACCGGCGTGCTTAGCAGCAAACTTATGTAAAGCAACAATCATTTTGCAGCTGCAAGCTTCCAACCTAATTGAGGAAGCAGATCCAGTGAAGTGAAACAAGACTGATTAAATCTTACAGCATTCTTGGTGGCGAGACGTACTTGAATACACAGAACCGAAGACCACGAGGAAACACCTTTTGATCATTCGAGTTTGTCAACGACCAAACTCAGGGCTTTGTATCACAAAATGGCTTTTGGCTCAAATTTCTGGCATTATCGGTAAAGCATCATGATGGTGGGCTATTACAGTTGGGCTCTCCTGCACAGTGATGAAGCTGAAAAAGGTCGGACCATTGGGATCGGTGATGAGGACGGGCAGATTGTGGTGGTTGTTATTCCTGTCATGGCAAATTTGACCTATCATTATTAATTGAGTGCAGTCGCTCTCCAACATCCATCACATCTTTGCTAAGCTATAATCACTGTGTCACCGGAGGCAAGTGGTGAGAATGATGATGAACACAAAATAATTACATGAATACAGTAGATAAAAGGGAATAAATAAAACTAAGCTTGATCTCATTATAACCTTTCTCTTTACTTTAAGAAAAATGGCATTACAAAATGTCTGCTCCCCTCTTATTCATCATCTTTGTTCCCCCACCCACATGATAGTTTTGTTGATCTGACATTTATTTCACTCATGCAGAGCATAATCATAATTTTGTGGTGACACTGATGACAAAGTGAAAACATTCAGCTTCAGTAATTTGCCCACCCTCAATGGCCCTGTCCCATTTTGGCCACAGCGTGTGTATTCATTCATGGGGAGGTCATGTCATGAGGAAAAAATTGTTATTTGTGTTTAATCAGGCTTTTTGTCTGGGGAGGGTTGCCTCCATACTCCGCGTGTAGCCTGTGAAAGAGCTTAATCAAGCTACTGGAAGCAAAACATCATTTATTAGTGGTTTTGACTATTTCTCAGGCAGTTTGTTTTCATGGTATTTGATTTATACATGCATCCTTAAATATAGTATTCCCTCTCAAGCAAAGTGCTCAGTTCACTAACTCCCTCTTTGTCCAACACATTTATAGAGTTTTCTAGACATTGGTGAGACATTCCCCAAAATCAATAAAAAGACTAACAAAGCCTCAAACCCCTCAATCCTCACCAGCTGGCAAAGGGCTAAAACACACATGACTTGAGACCTTCATTCTTCACTCCAGCAGGTTTATGTGAGGATAATTGAATTTAGTAGAAAGAGAGAATAGGGACTAGCTTGTGAGCAGACATTGCCAAAAAGCCCACATCCAGACTAGAGGACTAATTTCTGCTCAGCATATTGTGTAGACATTCTGTGGCACAATATCAAGGCCACATGTAATTCATCTTCTGGCTCTAGTTTTACTTTGCAACCTAATTAAACGAACAAGGATGTGAAGAAATCTTCATTTCCGTAGGGGTAAACACATTGCTGCATGGGAAAGGTAAGAGGAAAGGTTGGCTTTCTGAAAGGAGAATAAAGGCAGATTAAGAGCCGCTGGCTGGAAGATAGTGAATGGCTGACGACACTTGAATAGTGAAGGGGATACAAAACTGCGTTCTGCTTTACACGAAGCAGTTGCTGACTTGTTTGTTTTAATAATACCTCATCCTGTGCATACTTCTATACAAAGCTGATTCCACCATGTTCTGTATATCGGAGTTAACAAACATTTCCCCGCTTGTGTTAACATTCCACATCGAAAGCGATGGGCGTTATAGGAGACAAAGAGGCAGCTTGTGTCATAGACACAAGACACACTTGAGTGCAGCGCCTGACAGTTTAAATACCGCCCGATTCATCACTGAAACATCTGGCTCGTATTTGCTGTTGGCTGTAAAAAAAAAAGAAAAAGCCTCTCCTACAGCTTAGTTTGCTCACTTTCATCAATTTTAAAGTGAATGCAAATGGATGATTCCTTCAGTATCCCTAAGAGTCCGCACAGTTACAGCAACAGGGCAATACATTCTCATTAAGGGCTTCCTTCCTTGAAAGGCAGAAATTGAAGTTGGGATATCCGTGTTTATAGTTCCAAGCAATTGGAAGAAATGATGAGATCTTGTGTAAGGGAAAATAGGCTTCCAGCTTTAATAGGGTCCCTGCAAAAGCCCCTCAACCACCCACCCACTCCTCAACTGCTTCCATGGGGAGTGTCAATGATGAAGTCAGTCACGGGGAGTGACGGCCCGGCCCCACTGTGCAAAGGGCGCTCTGACAGGCCCATATTTCTCCAGACTCAGTCTTCAACCTACACTGTGGCCATTCCGTGTGGGTGTCAGGGGGACCGCTTCCATCATCAGATCTGTGATTCACAAGTTGGTGGCAGCAGCACTGCTAACTTGATGACTAACATGCTCCAGACAGCTGGGTGACCCCTCCTTAGTCGCTGGCTGGACGGTCTTGGATGGGGGTTTCCTTTATTTATTCATTTTTTTGCTGGATGATGCTTTTGGGAGCTGCTGATATGTTTGCGTCAATACAAATATCAGAGTCGGCTCGGACTGCACCCTTATTTGGACGATACCAACTGACTGATTCTGAGAGAAAGGCATCCATCTTTTCATATACCGAATCTCTGTGTCTTCCAACTATTTGAAACTGTTTCTTTGGGGTTAAATGTAACCCCCTATCCATTTTCACCGTCGCATTTTACTATTGTTAGTCAAAATTCAGTAGTATGCATATGTGCATCCCGGACTGGAATTTAAGGGCCATGTCCATATGTACTGTGATACAATTAAACAGAATTCAATGTTGAGTTATGTTTGACATTATAAAGTAACAAAACTGACCCTGCTATATAATTTGGTATCTTCCATTAACACTTTTCAACAGTGTGACATATTGTATTTGACTATTTCAAGTCATAGCAAACTTTTGATTGTCTTAGTAAAATGATTTGATTATGTTACTAATGACGTCTTGCAGTGAGATTGCACAAAAACAGTGCTTTTTTGGGTCACCAGCTTTAAGGGCTTCAATTAACCGAAACCACTTTCAGGGAAGCAAATGGGTGATTCTAAAAACAATTATGAACATCATTATTTGTCTCTCCCTTTTAGTTTTTATTCTATTCTAAGCTATCTTGATCATTAACTGCTTGATGTGCAAAACCTCAGGCTGTGGAAGTGCATTCACAGGGGCAGAGGTAAATGACTCGCCTCTGAGACATCGATTCCATTCTGTTACTTTAGGTAAATCGCTTAACTCAATCAGAACATTTGTTTCAGATCATGAGCTCACCATTAGTCCCAGTCAACTTTGCCTCCCTTACTCCAAAGGAAAGTTTTAACGGGATTTGAATTAATGCATTCAGCACAGAGCCCTTTCCACCTCGGTTTTTTCCTCAGCCCAACTGAGAGTTTTATAGGATACATGTTGGGGGGTGGGACCCCAGGTTCATGTGCACATGTGTAGGCCTATCTGTATGCGATACACAAGCATAAATACGTGCCTTTGTGGGAGCATGGATTTATGTCTGTGTAGCTTTGTCCAGATGGTAAGGTGTGTGTGTTTAACAGCCTGAAAGGGCACTCTATCTCCATCTCTCCTGAGAAACGAAACAAAGGGCCTCTGTGCTCTGTCCACTTTAGGTCATACTGTGCCCTTTATGTGGACTTCACCTCCTCCTCACTCCGACCTCTCTGTTCTCACATGTTAACCAATAATGAGTTGTGTACCAGATCATTCTTATCGGTGTAAAGGGTTGCATTTAAAACTAGGGCAGGCATTTTTATTTTAGAATTTTTATTTTGCTCATATGTTGAAATTCTCTTTACCTCCGGGCAGCAATGACAGCTCCTGTCCCAAACACTCTATCGTGGACTCGCCCTCCAGCAGTAGTCTGGCAGTGCGAGTTCATGTGTTTTGTTTAAGTAGCTTTGGAGGAAGGTCTGTAGGGAGGGGCAGAGACTTTTTCAGCAGGGGACTTTTTACATTTTTTTTATTCATACTGGTTTCTCCAAAGTTGCCTGCTCTATCTTTAAAAGGCACTGATTTCCAAATTCATAGCCGATAGCCTCCATAGGGCTCTCAACATGGCGACCAACAGAGCCTGCAGCTCGCGGCTAACAGTACAACAACAGCTGAAAATGATTTACCTGACGGGTCACGAGAGGTTGGGCCTAAGCTTCCCCAATGGCGCCGATAGACGGGACATGGCTATCAGTTGTAACTGTAGCATGAGCGCACATGAGCTAACCAGTGTTGCGCGCTCAAATGCGCTAACGTGCTAATTGTTTTGGTTTTGAGAGCCCCTCCCCAACATGACAGCAGCAGCTCACAAAATGTCTGAGTAAAAGACTCGTGACAGCTGTCGGATGCCAGCGAGATTTTCCACCGTTGTTAAGATCAGTGCGTTTAGAAATACTAAAAGTGTCACTAAATAGCACAAGTGAAACAACAGACAATGTTGAGACTTTTGCTTTCTTCTGCCCACCCTCTCCCCTTTCCTTTCCCAAAAAAGGAGGGTCAAAAACAAGCCTGTCCAGCACACTCAACACATGTATGGGTAATAAAGGATCAGAAAGCAAGCTCAGGAGTACATTTTGGCTTTTATGGGAATAATATATCATAAACCAGATTAACGTTGGGACATTCCTTCAACAACCAATAGCCCACAATCAGCAAGCACATTTATCAGATCTTCATTATTGTTCCAGCCAGATTGAAAAGATGAGCGGCATGCAGTTTATTGGTTTACACCCATGTTTTACAAGTGGACATAATTTAATTTAAAAACAAAAAACATCTGTGCAGTCTTGATTCGTTACGAATCATTGATTGTATTCTGTTGACAGCCAGTCACATATACCTGAAGGCACAAGTCTTTGCTGTCACCACTTGTCACAAGAGATTTCCATGTCTATAGCAATTACAGTGTTTGTTGGTGGCTGCAGTTTGGTCCTCTGGGTATGTGTATCGCTGTATAATTTAATTCCCCTCTCCATGGAGTAATTCCATCGCTCCCACAGCACAGGAAGGGGCAGACCGTTGGGAAGAGGACATCCACAGATACACGTATTTAAAGTGTACTTTGAGTCAGATATGTGAAGGTCAGAGGTAACATGAAGTCATGGGCAAGAGAAAGTTTTAATGAACAAAATATTAATCAGGCAAGTAGTCAATCAATCACCGTATCTCCGATGTGTACAGATTATATGAATAGATCACTGACAAGAAAAGGTCACATAGTGCCCCTTGTGGACAATCAGCGTGAACGCGAGACAACCTTAGAGAACCAACACTACCAGCTGAAGGCAAAGCGTGTGCCTACTTGTATTTGAATATGGCTGCAGTGCCATTTGCAGTGTGTAATGTGTTGGGAACTAGTCAAAATCATATTTAATTGATATCTTGATTAATTGGGGTAAATATAACTAAAGACTCAAACAAAGAGCTGCTATGAAAAACAACTGCAGAGTAATAAAATATCAACTGCTCAACTGCTGAGTCTTTAATTTAGCAGCTCCTCAAGATTATATGTGAATAATGCCTGATCTCAATTTAAGTATTAAGGGGTGATATTAAAATAGAGTAATGGCTACCGGAGGTGAAAAAAAACCCATGTATATTAAGATATACGTGTGTTTTTACTCGTGTTATTATGTGATTTCAATAGTCCAACTACATGAGGCAGAGTGAGTAATGAGTGAGCGGTGCCTTTGAATTAGATTTTTGTCAGACGCCTGTTCCAGTGGAGCTGCTTAGCAACATAACGGTCCCCAGCGACCTCAAATAACCATATGTGTAACTGTGTCAACGTAAGGAAGAATACTTCTCAAACATTGGGCAAAATAACACAATACTATTACAATGATGTATTACCTGCAATGTAGAGCTCATTAGGAGGGAGAATGACACAAAGAAAAAGGAATTAGAAGGCTTTATCATAAACACAGAATAGTATCTGTGAAGGATGAATGAAGGTAATCTGTAAACGTTGGAGCTTTTTTATTTCATTCTAAAAACCATCAGTGCCTCTCTGTGGTCAAATAGCTAAACTGCAGGAGAATTATTTTCTTAAAATTGCATCACAAGTCCTGTACTTCTTTTCTACTTTATTCAAATAGAGGCATTAACACAGAGATATTTCTTATGTGATGTAAAAGTGATGTTTTGAGAGCAGATGTCAGATCCAAATACATCAGAGTCAGGATCAAGTAATTGTGAACTTACTGTTGTTTTGTTCTAGCTCAGGTCTTACAATAATACTGTTGCTTATTGTGGCACAGACCAACTTTTGTTCAACATTACAGTGCAACCATCAATAAACTGTATAGAAATATGCTGAAATACTGCTGAGCTGAAGTTAGGTAGCGTCATTTAAACTAGAGGGGCAGCAATCCACAGAATCTTTGGTTTACCTTTGAATTCAAAATACAATAAAAACTACAGTGGCTTCACACCCACAACAAGTATCATTCTAATGGTGCATTGGTAAAATACTAAATAATTAAATCTTCATCACAATGAAAGTTATTGTACATCAAACATAATCAGTTTGCTATCTTTTGTAGAAATTGCAAAAGAAATACAGGTCTAACACAAGGAGCACATGAACACACAGCGTTCTCATAATCATTAAAGTAACACATTCAAAACAAATTTCATTGTAACCTCCCAAACTGAAAAAAACATGAAATTTCATAAAACACTAGAAATAATCAACATGCCCTTTAATATAGGAAGACAAATACCAGCAACCCACCAACTGGATATGTTGAGATATTAAATAATCGACAAAATTGTGGGAAACAGTTTCCTAACGCTGTTGATCTTGCTTTGGCATAACTGTCAGGTGATTTCTTTGACAGCCGCGTCTCTGAGAGGCTATATCTGGTTGTCGTTATATTGTGGGCTGGAGGACTGATCCTGCATGGCCCCGGCGGCGGCCCCCATGGCGGCCTGCTGGGCTGCCGCTTGGACATGAGGGTTTTTCCAGGCTCCCGTGGTCCATTCCTCCTGAGCTTTGGACATGCTGGCCCCGCTGCCACGGTAGTAGTTATGGATCTACAAGCATAGACGTGAGGAAGGTAAGTGGTTTTCATTACCGTAGTTATGCTGAACTGTATCCCCCGATCAGTAAAACTGAATACTGTTTTTTTCACGAGTTAAAAGTAATTCCGGCATTTATAAATATAAACCTAACAATCCTACTATGTTGATCAGACAGAGGCCTGAAACATTTTATTTCTACCGCAATGAAATATTTTTGTATTTTGGCAAAATACAGCATGGACGTTGGAATAATAAAACACATTCTAAGTTTCCTGCCTACATTTCCTTTTCAATAAACACACAACTTAAATTCTTACCCGAGTGAGGGCAATGAAGGACAGAGAGGCCACTGCAGTGAACATAATAGTAGGGACCAACATGATGAGCGCAATGAAAATATTATAGCTGAAGAAGGACAAGGTAGCCAACCAACCGCTGAAAAAGGAGACAGACAATTAACACGATTTCATTAAAAAAAGAAGACGACTCATTATAGATGATGAAGACAACATGAACCATAATGATCTGTAATTGGATTGAACGTTGTTCCTCATCATGATACCACCACTGAACATCTGGAAGTTAAATTCTGTTATTTTTTGTGGACATTAAGTACTGCAATATAAAAGTTTAAAATGTTTATAGCTCACCCACAAGAATATCCATTTGCACATGGTGACATTTACTAACTTTATTTGAGGCTGTCAAAATTCAAAATTTCTGATCATCAGCCAGATGACATTTTGAGGATCTCTTTAACAGCCTCTCAAACTCTAATGACAGGACTATCATAAAAGTTATATGAGGGCCGTATCTGATGCTCTACCACTCTCATGTTAATGAAAGCAGCACACATGGCCTTTAGAGTGTGTGTGTATATAGTCCTCCTGACAGGACTTAATGCTCAACTTCAAGAGGTTTTATGACAAAGTAGATTTTTTTCGCTTGATTAAAAAGACTTCTAATATTTAAAGTTGCATAACAATTAATAAATAAAATATAAACACTCATGGAGAAACTTGAATAATGACAGTGGTATTTGAGTTGCATTCGACTGGTTGACTCCAAGTATGAGTCTCTATACCTTTATATAATGGCACTTACAGAATTGTTTTAATCTCACTTTCGTACACTTTTTAAGTCAGGATTCAACATAAATTAACATGCAGGGTATCTGACTTTAAATATTGTACTCTATTAAAATGAATAGGTTATTTAAGAACTATTTAACATGGATTTTTTGCAATGCATTTTTAATCTCTGGCTCTTACCACACCCCCCATCCAGGGATGCCTATGCTTTGGATGATGCTGATGCCAACTTGGGCCATGAACACAAAAAAGAACTGCATGAAGTTGAAGGAGCTGTCGCTCCTGAGTAAAAAAACAAAAAGAAAAGAAAGGTGATCAGTAATTATGGACATTTGCATCAAACATGTTTCATTACTACAAATCGAATATCGTATGTAGATGTTGTTGCTTACATCGCTATTAATGTTAAACATTTGGTTCAAAGGCATTTAAGCCCAGAGGGCGCTATGGGTCATTCCACTCCGCACCAAGAGGAGAGAGACACGCTTCCCTCCACTGTGGCTTATGACTTATCTCTAGGAATACACAAGCTGATCAATCAACAATCTGGTTTAGTCTTTACCAGACCCGCAATTTAGCATCAGGGCATCATCTACTGTACGAAACAAAAGAAAATTGGTGAAGGAGAAAGCGTACGCTCATAAGACAAAGGAATTATTTGATAAAATATTTCAAGCTGCCCTTAAATGAAGGGAGAGTGCATGTTTCTAAGTGGCAGTTGTTAAGCAATCTCCTCTGATCTACCAAATTCACACTCATTTTTAGCATGTTGATATATAAAGAGGGACAATGACCCCCAAAAGCCCAAGGAATAAGGCTACAGCAATGAAAACAGCAGTACTGACAACCGTCATGAAAGTCTGAGAAGTAATGTTTCTTTCCCTCGGGGACAAAATACAGTTATTGTCTCTGTACACAAAGCATCATTTAAATTCATCCCTAAGAACTTTACATTGCAATAGAACACATTAGTCCATTATTAGTAAGCTGTATGTGCCATTTAGAATTAAAGCTATGAAGTATGTTGCTTTTTACTTTAAACAGCCATTACAGTTTTGCCAGAATCCTTCAGCAACAAAAATCATTGTGAGTGAGCACTAGAGTACTGATGAGTAGTGATACAATGTCACTTCAAGAAGTGACAGACTCACTTGAAGGCCTTGTAGATGGCCCTGAACCAGCAGACGTAAGAGCAGGGAGTGAACATGATCAGCCAGATGATGGCCAGTCCAAAGTTGGTTACGCCACCACCCCCAAACATCCAAGCAAAGCAGCCGATGAGATTCACAGCGAGAGTTGCGCTGTTCACTGAAAAGACCAGGACACTGTTACACACTGCTAAATGCATTAGCATGACCAGGCAGGAAAAGGTCTGAAAAAGGTTGATATGTGGATATGAAAGCATGCAAAATGGCTTAAGTTCCTTGAGTAGTTCTTCTCCAGGCCTCATTCTCTAATTGTGAGTAATGCGATGAGGCTACTGTGCTCCCCGCTTAAGATGCACTTGGTTTTAATTGTAGCTCCGTGCATTGGTCCTATCTATCTTTTCTAAACGAGCAAAGAAGGCCAATCAGCTTTACATTTTGGTTTACAAGAGGATTATAATGCCCAACACGGCTGCAACATGACACTGATTGAGGAACACAAGTAATACTAATTATTTTCAGGGAGGAAATGAGAAAGAAAAAATGGACATGCTGACTAACATACAAATATGCAATTAATGTGCATGCCAAGCATAGAGAAAATTGGTACAGGAAAAGAAATTAAAAACACACCTAAAAGCAGACTGGGAGTTTGAATACCTGCTTATGTTTAGCGTTTACTAAATGAGACAATACCTGCAGAAAGAGAAACATGTAGTCGCTAGTTTAGAGTAACAGATATCAAATGCTGTGTCTAAATGACTATTTCAAATGCAAAAAACATGTTGTTCTCATTGCTAGGCAACGCAAACACGCAAACAACAATATTGAAGCGAAGTGGAGTGCACCTGTGCTGTGTCTGGCCGAAACCTTGTTGAGCCTTTGACTTTCTCTGCTTTCTTTCCATTAAACTGTATATCTTCTCATTGGCCCTACGCTTAGCTGCCGGTATCACGATGCACCTGTACATAAATGTTGCAGCAGCTTTGAGTCGCTCCCTGCACTCTACCGTGCCGGCCTTCATGGACGGGCAGGGAGCTTCCAGACCGGAGCAATATCACAAACATCATTGTTCCGCTTGTTTATAGTGTAATAAACTTTGATGAGAGTGCCTCCGGCGGAAATTGTCTAACACAATCTCAACATTAACGGCTCTGCCCAAACCAAGGCCATCTGGTCAGCGCTATGACTCATTAGCAAATAAACCAGTCAGAATGACAAAGTCACAGCCAATAGATTGAATATATTTTTGGACCAAAGGAACCCTTGTAAACCAATGCCCTTCTGTTACATAGTTCTTATTAACCACAGAGGGGAAACACAGTTTATGGAAACTCCCGGGAAATCCTGGCTCCTGTGTTATTGGAGAGCCAGGCATTAAAAAGTCAGTTTAATAAAGTTTCATTGGGGAAGTTTAAGGTCTAACATTCATGTGTGGTAGCCTGATGTACTCACACATCCACAGGTGGTACATTTTCTTGCACATGCTGCGGTGGTGTTCAGGGATCTCATCAAAGTCCTGGTAGAAGCATGGCTTGAGTGGAATGAATCCCGGCAGTGGGGGGAAGTTGGGCTCTGAGACAAATAATTCCAGTTAGAAAACATAGCAGCTGGTGTTCAGTCCTTCAGTATGGTGATGCTTTTAGAATCTCTGACCTTCCATGTGGATAAAGTTTGGAGTATGCTGGTTAGAGTTACTCCCCCCTCAGTGCCTTGAGTCTGTCAAGTAAGAAGAAAGGGGATGTTACAATGTTAACTCAGAATACCTTAAGTCCTGAAGGGAAAAGGATTTAGAGAATCCTCAAATATTTTGCGTTTTTGGACCCCTCAAAATAACAAAATGCACTTTTGTGTTGTTCGGAAACTCTGCATCTTGTCAATTGTGCAAGCAATCAATTATTAATAGATCAATGAAACAGCTGACATGATATGGATATTTTGTGGGCACTTTCACTCTGTCACGGTTGGGGTTTGTTTCCTTTCTTATTTTGTAGTTTTCTGCCTCTTGTGTCCCCGGGTAACTTCACTTCCTGCCTTGTCCTGTCATCCCCTGTGATTGTCTGATTGTTTCCACCTGTGTCCAATCACCTGCACCTTCCCACAGTATTTAAGTCATGTGTGTCTCTTGTCCCTCGTCATGGCATTGTTGAATGTCCGGATGTCTGAGTGGTCCTGGTCCCTGTCTCCGTTTTTGCCCTTGGCCTTTTGCTTTTGGAACTTTGACGATTAAAGTCTTTTTGTGTTAGAAACTCCGCCTTTGAGTCCAGCCTTCCCCTCAATCCTGACAGACTCCCTCGGAGAGACAGGTGGACACTAATGTATTATTGTTACTTACAGGTGCTGTGCCAGTATTCACGATCATAATAATCCATTCAATAAATAGTTTTACCTCATTCTGTTCGGTGTAGATCTATTCTCGGATGTGGAAGTGAGGATCGTACTGGCAGCATTGGAGAGGAGGGGGGTATCAGGTGTGACTGTTTGGTAAATAGTTTGCATGGGTCAGGTAGGACCACCTCTCAGCAGAATTTAGCAGTGGGCCCCTGGGGGGGGGGGTCGGGCCTGTCTGCCTTCAGTCAGATATTGCTGATCACCTGCGTGTCGAGGTGCTGATTTTACACATTTACACCTCAAAAGATCTGGCCGCTTAGTCGGTGATTTCTAATTGACTTTTGTGAAAACCAGGTGCGGCAGAAAGAATAAAGAAACACAAGCTCGTGACGTAACCCCGTTGACTTACTTTGCATGTCCTACAGGTGTGGGGGCGTTACGCCATTTGCAGAAACACGGAGGAGGCTGTAAATCAGCGTCGCCGTCCACGCTTTCCGCTGGAGGACTTAATATGTCCGCTTCCTCCGACTCGTAAGAGTTAAACGACACCAAATCAGAAGAAAACGAACAACACAAACCCCGGGGGGAGGGAGACGGACAGAGGGCTGATCTTCGTGGTGAGGAACTACGGATTCCACAGGACACGTAATCTTCTTACCTGCTTCCAAAGAGCGCTGCTTCTTGGCCTGAAGACGCAGCCGCGTGAGGGGGAGGGAGGGAGGGAAGCGCGAGACTGTCGATCGGAAGATATTTGCGCGGAAACTAACAGACCATTATAATACTTTCACCCTTTATGACCAAGGCAAATAGATCCTAAATCCTCCCCCTCCGCCAATCATCGCGCGGCAATGCAGATTACCAGGCAGATTACACTAATCCTTGACGTTTTTCTTTTTTTTTGAGCCAATCGGCGTGCAGCTCTCTGTCCATGGTGCTGATGCCGGTCCACCGGCGGAATGAAGTCAGCAGCAGTATGAGAGGTATAGATAACTCTCATTTAATTAAATAGCTGGCTTTAATTCCCTTTGCATTATAAAAACGCAGCCCTACTTGGTCAGAACCAAGAATTGTACTAAATTGACTCCAGCTCTCCAGCTGGGTTTGCTGTTTCACTGCACGAGGAAACTTGGTTGAGGCCACAGGACACAATCTCTTGGCAGTAAACACATTTGTTGGCATACTTTTGCTTGGCTAACAAAGAAGGAATATGCTCATAAACAGAGTTATGCAGAGTATCAATCAAAGTTGAAAAACTTTGTTTGATAAGCGTGCATACAACCAGTGGTGGAGAAGGTATTTGGATAATTTACTTCTTAGGAAGAATAGCAATATTACTAAGAAATACTGAGACATGCATTTAAAAATGTACTTCAAGTATCATCATCAAAACATACTTAAAGTACTTTGATTGTATATAACTTTCATTTTGACCAATAACCAATTGTAATTTAGCCATCTGCCTTCCAATTTAGGGTCCATTTTTTTCACCTTTTATATCAATTAGGACACAAACACAAGTTATGATTAGAACTTGAACACGTGGGTGCTGGATACTTAATGTAAATGAAAATGAAAATTGTCAGAATATGCGCTGAAGAAGGGCGTGTTGCCTGACATGTACTCATTAAATTACATTAGGATAGTACTCCAATTGTACTTTTTAATAATCTTTTCTATATATATGTTTTTTATTTCTATATTGCCACTTCATTTTCCAAAATCGATAATAGTCTACTGTACCGATCCAGGGTGGAGTCATTTTTATTCATTAGGAATGAGGGATGAATACATCCAGGTAAATGAGTGTGAAAGCTGGGAGTAAATGTGCTGTGGACTTGCAAATCAGTATTGTGTTTTAGATATTGACTAATCCAGATCGTTATAATGATTGCAGGTTGTTTATTCATGAGGTATAGCTTTGCTTCAGGTTCAGTGTTTATCATGCAGATCATCTAATGCCGTTCCATTAAGAAATACAGCAGTGCAACATAGGTGCTTTAGTAAGTTGTCATTATAACAGTATTCTTTTTTTTATCCATCAATTCTACGCTAGTTGGTTTGATAGTGAAAGTGACTTTACCTCACATTGTCACTGCAGCTACTCCCTCTCTCTGGTGGTATTTATATTAAATTTGACAGGCTGTTTTAAGGTCACTATGATATGGCCATTAGATATAAATATAAGGCATGTCGTTCCCCTCCCACTTCAGCTCACAAACAGTGCTTCACTCTGCATATTTTAGAATAAGAAAGTCACATTTTCCCATGAGCTTCCCCAACACGCCATTAATGCAGAACAATGACTCTTTTCTGGGTCCTCCTTGCTGCGCACTTTGTCATATTCCTGGATGGCATGTAGACAGGATATTAAGTATCGCATAAAACAGTGGGAGACTGAGAGGGGGAGGGGGGCAATGGTGAGAAGAAAAAATAAAATGGAGGATGAAGGATCGGTCTGACACATTAGCGTCAGCATTGGCAGAGGGAAAGTCTATTTTCATTTCTTTTGTGTAAAACATTTACTTCTGCTGTAAAAATTAAAAGTGAAGGTGCAAATTTCAACCTGTCTCTCTTGCTAAACCACAAATAGTCCATAAATGACTAAACTGGGTACAATGTTTATTATTTGCTAATGACCTATGTTCATGATCAAGTTAAATCATATCCTATGAAACTGTTTTAAGAATTCAGTTTGTGCTCAAAAAATGTGTCATATTTTGTCAGTTACAGTAAATATAGGGTTACAACACCACAAACACACACACACTGACATTAGTCTACTTGTTTTGCCTTTGAAGCATGAATATCTGTATTTATTTTCATCATAAGTTGTGTAAATGCATTTTAAATGCGAAAAGAATGTGTCTGCTGTGCAACACTCGAAACCCCTGCTTGATGTTGTCAATTGTGGCACAGCACCAGTGCACCCCAGTGTCATTGTCCCCCAGAACAGAAAACCACATTTGCCAAATCGTCCTCTAAGCCCATGTGTCACCGTTGTCTGGGTTTCTATGGAGACGCTTTCCTCCAGACCAAGCATGTGGAGGGCACCCCTCCAGTGGAGGGAGGTGGAACAACATTGTGGCGAGGCAATCATACACCAACCTCATTTACATATCCAAACATGGACCCTGGACCGTGGCAGACGGTGTTTGTTGACTAAACATTCCACATAAGTGATTAAACCCAGCTGCAAATGGAGCCCAGATATGGGATTTTTATCTATTCTTTTATCTAAAGAACGATTTGGTTCACCTGCTGAACAAAAGAAATTAAAAGTTAAAGTAAAATACTATTTTTTCCTCAGAATTTTGAAAACATCTGTCATTGCACAGTGCGATTGCTCAGTATTCAGGTCACCGTTGCTCCCTTTGTACTGTGGAGATGAATGATGCATGCTTGTATCTGAACCTTCTGTGGCGACTTCCCGGTATCTCCAGCTGGGGGCGCTGAATCATCCGTCCATCAGTGATGCAGTAGGCGCTCTGCTGTCAGATGGAACTTTGTCTCTCACCTTAGGGAAGATCAGAGACAGGCACTAAAGAGGCAACTGTAGAAAAAATTCAAATCCACAGATCGGTTGTTGGCCAAGAGTCGAAGAAAGAGCGAGACAGACAAGGCAACAAATGACTTATTTGGGCTTTGTTTCAAATAAAAATAACGTGTTTTTGCTGTCATGAAAAAATTAAGCTGATCAAAGAATATATCAGAAAACACGCCATTTTTGTTACTCCTTGTAATACTGAAAAGGAAAAGTTCCTTGGTGGATAGACTGTGATGAAACAAAAGAAACAGGAATGCAGCTAATCAGCATTTACATATTCCTTGTGGCTGTAATTTGGAAAGAGTCTCAATGATTTCTGTATAATCCAGCACTGAATTAAGCAGTGGAATCTCACACTGTAAGGATGCTTTTATAAAAGTCAGACTTTAAATCAGTGAAATGCTCCTTTCCAACACCTTGATATGGCAAAAAAAATCACTTATTCAACACATGAATGGTATGTGTATTTCTTTGGCATACATATACTTAAAATCCCTGAAAAACATATTGGCTAATGAACCGCATAAAGACATCATTCATATACATTTCTCTACAGTATTCCACAGCAAAATACACTCATCCATCGAATAGTGCTTACATTTATGCCGCTTCTTGTCTTACGGCAATGGTTGTAATGTTTCACTAAGCATATGAGTCCATTTATAATGGCGGTAATGACCAATAACTGTGTTATCATCATGAGACAGCCCACTTAATGTGCTATTAGCCGCAAAGATCCAAGAATGGATGAATGGCATTATGATAAAATAATGTGCCCAGATACATTAAACAACATATTGTTTCTTTTTTTATTTAGTCTGGTAAAAGTAGTGGTTCAAAAACTTTTGTTCACCCAACATTTTTGGAAGTTAAAATGTGGCCAAGATTTGACCCTGCAGAATTGGAAACACTATAAAACAACGGGGTTAAGGTCTCCTTTGGAGCAGCAACATCTTTTCAGGCTTGCAAATGATTCAAATGGGGATAATTACAGAGTCCATAGTCCCAAGAGAGTCATTACGAGGCCGTATGCAAGGGTTAGACAAACAGAGAGTGGGCCCTGATGAGTTTAAAATCATCCAAGTCTAGATCACCGTAGAGAGGAAAGATGGATAAAAAAACCTTTTAACATTGCAGTATTACCAACCAACCCAATGAGGGATGCTTTGTTTATCTACCTGTGTTGATAAGGAGCGTTGGGTGAGATCAATGGACCAGCAGGGCATCCTACCCCGAACCTCGTGGCCACTCACGGTGTGGCAGTATCCCCAGTTCAGGCTCTAAATGGGGCAAATATGTTCTCAAATGGGAGGCAAGTTGCTAAGAGTTGTGGCTAGAGGCAGATGGTGGGCTGGAATCTTTTCAACCTTTCCAGATCCACACTCCCAACGAGAAGGATGACCACCGCCTGCTTTCAGGCCAGGTGAGAGCGGACGTCATGCGAGATGGAAGGTCAGCGGGGCGCCTTGTGGGACAACATGCTGGAGAGGTAGCCTGAGCAGTGCAAAGCTAAACCCCCAACGGGGCAAGTTATTTGGACCTTCAACTGACGAACTTCAGGGTATATTCTGAGTTGTGGCCACAAGGGCAATCGGAGAGGGTACTGTCGGTGTCACGATCGAGTCCTGAAGGTATACAGAAACTACAGAAACCATCAGCACCAGAGTTGAGTGCAGGACTGGGGCGTCTTAAAGCCAGCCGTGGATTTAGAGAAACGGATCGAGTTCAGTCAGCACTGGACATATCAGCCTGGTGCTTCCGGGCTGGTATTGAACGCAGCGCGATCGTTGGCCAGGGCCTACAGCACGGAAGGGTCAAGGCAAGCCAAGTGAGTTTTATTTATATATCCCAATATTGCAACTTCGCCTCAAGGGCTTTAGAATCGGCGCAGTATTTAACACTCTCTGTCCTAAGACTCTCAATTCGGACAAGAAAAGCCTCCCGGAAATAAAAACTTTCTCATTGAAAAATAGTAACACTCCAGGAAGGGCAACTGAGGAGTTTCTCTCCCGAGAGAGACAGACTAAATCAATGTTGTGTGCAGCCATCCGCAACACCACAGATTTGGCAGATGGGGTATAAAAATGACTCAAGAGAGTGTAACCATGGGGCAGGTAGATAACCATCTTGACACAATGTTGCCCGGCCAACCAATTACAATATTGACTCTTGTGGAAAAAGCAATTTTAGAGTAAAACAGCAACACCAATGTACCGTTTACTGCCAGGAGATAACACTAAATCCTAGCGTTTCACTCAAGACAGACAAATCCTATCCTAATTGGTCTCAGTGGCATCAAATGTGTAAATATTCTTCTCCACACTTGGTCTGCTTTAGTTGGATTTCCGTCATTGACTGCGCAAAGCAAGCGTTCCTGTTGAAACGGTATCAGGTAATTCTTGAAACAAACTGCTTTAAGCATAGTCATGAGAGACCAATGTTGACATCACACAGCCACCCATGTTGGGGATTGCAGATGGGGATTCCACTGTTGCTGCAGCATGTTCAGTGAGATTGTGATGAGAACCTAACTCTGAGCAGGTCGTTGTATTATCACGTCCTGCAGTCCACGTTGTATGGTTTTTATTTGTTGACACTTTGAATTTTAACAATATTGTAGAGCAGCACACACTAACGCGCACACACACACACACACACACACACACACACACACACACACACACACACACACACACACACACACACACACACTTACTAGCGCTGAGCCCAAACTCTACTAAATAGTGTCAACATTTTAAAACAAAACTGAACTGATTCTATTTATTATATTTTTTGCATTTAAATCATGGCAATTTTTTACAGGGATTTTCGAGCGGCTCTTAGCTTGTGTTCATTATTTTACGGGAGCGGGGGAGGAAAAAAAAAAAGGATCAGCAGGGAAATTACAACTTGACCACAATCACAGAGGACACAGCAATGCTAATAGTTTTCCAATGCAATCACATAGTCTGATGGGCCAGACATTTGCTTTAATCAGACACCTGGGAAATGCATCCATCCCATTTCATTTCATCAGCTCAAATCATTCTCATTGCAGCATTCAATGAAAACGTAGAGATGAGAAATCGGGGCAGACAAGATATTATTACAACAGAGAACGTCTTCATTACTGACGTTTATGATATATATATATATAATATTCTACTCCCACATCTTGTAAATCCAGTCGGATTTTGTTTCATCCCAAAAAGTAATTCATAAGTAGATGCCACATGTGAGGCAGTCAATCCCAGTTTGAAACTTAAACAATGCTTTGTTCAGTGCAAGTACACAGCTCTGATATACTTTCTATAGAGCCACTCTAAATACCGGATACTCATGCCATTCGGACTGGTTAAAGCTGGTGGGTTTCCTCTCCTGCTTGTTGGTGAATGTGCTGCTGCTGGCTGGTATCAGTGATGCTGAGTGCAGCAGTGCTGCTCGAGGAGAGTCTTTGTCTGCTCTGGGAAGCCCGGGCTCCAGCTGGCCCCCGCTATGTGCAAAAGTCAGTGGGTCCATCAGCACTCAGTTGCAGGCGGCGAGCTGGTTGATTGGGATGCACAACACTGACGCCCCCCACCACCCTTCCCTCTTTTCCCACCTCCACCTCATTTAGCCTGTTCTTGCTCGGGGAGCACACCTGCCTCCCCAACTGTCCCTTTTGTAGAACCTAGACCTGCTTTATTACACAAATATTCATGCAGTCAAGCATACACGTCTGTGTAAAACAAAGGTATGTGCTCACTGCTCAACCTCTCTCTCCCCCTCCCTCTCCCTTTGACGCGCAGATACAATGACTATCTTGACTAAATGGTGTGAATGGATGGGTGTAGCTGTTTCAGGATGATGGGCTTTTCGCTGCAGCATGTGTGCGGTGAGAGCTCATTAAAAACACCCCGTGTCTGCAACATTGGGCTCACGCAAGGAAACGCATTTGCAGTCATTACAGATAAACTGCCAAGCCAGATGATTCTCCACACTTTGCTCTCTCTCTCCCTCCAAAGGGATGCCTGACGAATTGATCATTCCATACAGAGAGAAAGGGAGCGCCATGGGGCACAATCTGTTTATTTTGTTTTACATATTTTGGAATTGACAAGTGTCTCTGCAGACGCGTTCGCCTCACGCGTGGATTGTCCCGAGTCTCAGTGGACAGACAGCATGCAGTTGGACATAAAGAAGAAGGCAAGACGGGGTGTGTTAAAAACCACCGACGGCTTTTCAGGACTTCGATGACCAGCCAGTGTCTTGTGGACGTGCGTGTGCGCGTGTGTGTGTGCACATTCACGCGTATTTCGGTGTGCGCGCGTGTGTGTGCATGTGTAGGAGAGAGAGAGAGAAAGAGGGAGAGAGTGTGTGCAGCTAACACACACACACACACACACACTTACCATTCGCTCGCAACATGGCGTTGAGGCGCCGAGAGACACGACGGCTCTCCCCCGATTAAAGCGAGCCCACTGGGGAAGCCAGAGGACGGTTTTTACCGGGGAGAGGGGAGGACTTCCGCGGAAAGTCCGTTACGCACCGGCGGAGACAATAACGGATTCCAACATATGCACGGCGCTATGAGGGAATAGCCGCTCGCAGACGCGCGCTGCTGCCCCGCCGGTGGGAGAACCAAAGGGCTGTACATGGCGGTGGAGAGAACAACCTGGCTGTTCTGTCTTCTTGCGCTGTTTTGTGGTCTCTCCAAGCAAGGTAAAGCGCACGCTCTAATCGCCCGCATGTCTTTTCTTCTTTTTTTTTTTTTTTTTTTTGCACTGTAGGGCAGTGGGGGCATGTAAGAGGCAGCGGGCCACACTTGTGTGCAGTTACTCGGAACACAAGTGGGCTGATATGAAAGATATAAAAGACAGAGAGATACCGGGGGAGAGCAACACCCCCCCCCCCCCCCTCCATGTTATCTCACCTCATGTGGCCTCTCCGGGGGGGGTGTAGGTCGTGGTCTGTGTGGCGTTTTCTTTGCGTTACCTAAGTTGCAGCACAAACGGCGGGGCAATGGAAGGCAGTGTGTGGAAGGGGGTAGAGGGGGGGGTCCTTTCAACTGACCGGGGAAGTTTCCGATAAAACATGGGATGCGGCTCCGTTACGAGACACGTGGGTTCGGCCATAGTGCTTAATGAAAGAGGAAATTTTCATTTTTTTTGTCATTTCTTTGTGCCGGTTTAATCGCCAGGAGCGAGCGGACGCGCGTCGGGACGTCCGGGTCTCCGCCGCCGGCTCCGAAAGCTGAGCGAAAAGGACTTTTTGCGGAAAAATGTCCACACCAGGGTCAAAAGGGGACGTGGCTCAACTTTAGCATCAATGTGTTTCGTGAGATGAACAGCAACAGCAAAAATGGCTCGCGAGAGTGGAAGCGTGCAGCTGAGATAGGAAGCTCTGAAACCAAGAAAGACCCGACCACGACGTGTGGGACATCACCGCGGGGGGGTTCATAGACCCAATGCCCTTAAGGCATCTTCTCTCGTGGCTGCGTGAAGCCAGAATAAAGCCCAACAGTGAACGTCCCCCACGACATCTTCATAGATGACAGCAAAAAGAATGCACCACTTGACCTCCACAGCAGGTTGTTATTTATCTGTTAAGAGGACAGCGTGAGGACCAGTGAGGTCTCCCAAGAGGTGGCATTTATGTTTGGACTGGGCAAATTGTCAAATACTCCTAAAAACATACACAACTTAGTTCCACAATGACGACAAATGTCCCCCGAGTCTTTAAAGATATACATTGCATTGTAATGTTGGTTGTGGGTGTTGCCTCTCTTCCTGTAACACATAAAACACACCAATCGAAGGGTGAACTTTGCTTAGCCTAGCACTTTGCCCCACTCAATAGCCAGTGGAGTTGTGTTTAGTGCAACCCATTACGTGTTAATATAGTGTGTAGTGTGCCGTATTATTGAGGCTTTTCACGTGTGGTTTTGCTGCTGCTGCAACTCCAGTACGACACACACTCTGCAGTGATTGCCGCCAGCGCCATGCTAAGAAATAAAGGAATTTCCTGCATGTGGGTTCAATGGCGGTGAAAAGCGAAGCGTGGCGGAATGAATACCACGGAACCTGGAGAGTACTTTAGCACATCCATGTACACACCACCTTCCTCTGGAGATATACTGTGACTTTATCAGGAGTCCCATTATTCATCTTTCATATCATGCATATAAAGGACTTGACAGCGAGGTAACTAGGCTATTCCTCCTTGACTTTCATCTGATGTAATGGTAGAAGGTCCGACGATACAATTTATGTAGAGTTAAATTATGATACCCTGCAGACTCCAGCAGAGACGGGAAGGAATTTACTCCCCTTGAGATCCTCCTGACAGGAGAGTGAGTGCCGCGCTGGGGGCCATCATATCCGGATGATGAAATCTCATGCAGGTAAATGGCGCCTGTGGTGGAGGTTATCTGTGATGCGCGTGAAATGGATTCGATTCATTTGCACCGTGAGATTTAAAGTTGGTATCGAACTGTTTTGAAAATGTGTTTGTGGTCTAAAAAGCCTCTGAATTAATAAAATATCTCACTTACAAAGTGACAAAAAAAAACATTAAACAAATTGTAGCCTAAACATCCGTTTATACCGTAAAGAATTGTCGTCTAGATGTGCTTTCCCCTTGATGGCAGAAAGGTTCATTAATCATGAACATTCAATAATTCATTCAATAATTACTGTAAATTGTTATTATTCATCAATACCAGCGAACAACGGTCATCAAGATTCTGCTCGCATGTTGTTGGGTTCAGAAAGTGGAGCATGAATGCTGTGGGTGTCGGTGGTTGTGGCAACTGAGGCTGGTGGGCGGGGCCCGGGGTTGATTCTGGGACAGGGCTGAATTAGCGGGTGCTGGGGGTGGGGGGTGGGGGGGCAATATCGAGGGCAAGGGCTATTGCTAAATCCACAAACAAAAGAGCACGTTTTGTCCGTTCTGAAGATCAAATGAAAAAATGTCAACTTCGGTTAATATATCACAAGCAAATGAATGAAGCAAAGTGCATGCGTCTGCGTGAGTTCACAGCAGTGGCGTCCCCAGTAGCGTGTCATGGTGGGGTGGGGGCGGATTGGGGCAACTGAAAGTCTTAGGGCAGCACACCAAAATTAGCGGAGGGAAATACTGTTTTCTTTTTTAATGATGTCAATGTGAGGGTTCAGGAATTGCAGACCGGAGGTTTACTCAACAGTTAATGTTTCTAATTGTGCCTCTGCGCAGAATAACACCAGCTCAGTTAAGAATTTGAGCTCCATTACATCCTGTTTTAATCTATTCTGTATTATTTGTTATACAATTTGTTCTTCAGATAGGAAAGTTGTCCTGAAAAATTACAAGAAGTACATTGATGCTAGGAAACAACAATTACTGAGAACACACCTGCTGCGCGTTTAGAAAAAGCACAGAAACCTCCCACGTTATGCTGATATGACCTGTGAGTGGGCCCCTCCTTCGCCACCCCGCGGCGCCGCCATCGCTTCACACTCTGTAGTTATTAATAAAATAAAACATCTGCAACATCCCAGCAGTTTATGAGCAAATCGGATTATTGTGACACCTTTGACCTTCTTACAACCTCGTGAAAATGGTAAACACAGCAGTTTCATGATGAAGAATTGGTTCTACACTGACTGACAATGTCACAAGATCATTTTTCATCGATGCATCCAATTAGTATTTACTTGTTCGCATTAACATGCAGAGCAACAGTCTCCCCCAATTCCACTGGGACAGTACAGTGTGAAAGGTATCGATTTAAAGGAAATGTACATCCCATTTATTTATTTCACCGTAGAAAGTACCTTCTATTGCTTCAGCTGCTTATTCTGCATTTCAGCTGGATGAGAGCACTATGCCTGCAGGAAAAAACGTCAGCAGATACAAACAGAACACATAGGACATAGGAAGGAACCGTGTTGCCTATTTTCAGGTTGATTCTCAAAAATCCTGAGGAGGTCTCATTGATGAAACACCAGGAAGAAGAAACTAAGCTGAAGCGTTTTTAGGATTCCTTTTATGTTGCAATGATCCTTATAATCTCTGGCTGAAAAGGGACTTTTTTTCCGCTGCAGAGCAATCAAAACCAGTTGGGAAAACGATATTGACGTATCATCCTTAAATTTGATGTGGCAAACTCTTGCTTCCTATTGACATCTCAATTAACTCGGCAGAAGTGTGGTCACTGGGGAAAGAAAAGTGTCTGAACTTTGTATGAATCGATAATAAAGTGAATACTATGATGACCTTCTTTCAAAATAAAAGTCTCAATGCCCAACATTTGCTAACATGCTCTTCCGGGCAGAAGACCCGTAGTGTCCCCACACTGTGGTTGTCTTGTTTTTAAGCCTGATTTGAAATCACCTTAGAGCACTACTAAGTGTGATTTGGCCTCTACAAAAAAATACATTTTTTGTAAAAGTTATGTATAACTCTATAACTAAATATGTAGTTGCTGCTTATTTTGTACGCAGTAAATATTTTGACTGGGGAAGGTTTTTTTTTTTAAATCAACCATTTATTCCCCAAGCTAAAAAGGCCCCTGTGGGTCAAAGTCCAGCTTAAAACATGGTGGAGGCAGAACGTTACACAATGAGTTACCTTTTTGGCCTCGCACAGTGTCAGTGGATGACACAAACTTTATCTCACAGTGAACCAACTGTGCTTCTGTGTCTGTTGGCCACTTTTAGCCGTGCAAATAGGGAGAAATATTCTAGCTTGGAAATAAACATTTCTTTAGAATATTGTTATTTTGAATGTTGGCCGTGTTTGTCTCCCAGCTGACTGCTTCTGTCTCATGATTTGATTCTGTCGCGTTGGTACGCCAGTTGTCTCGTGGTATCTGTGGAGGTCATCCATCACTCTACAGCTTCACATACTTGGTTTCAAAGTGGTATCGGAATTGAAAGGTCCATGGTCCAGTTTCCAGTCAAGTATGCATGCATAAAGAAGTAGATGTCACTGTCTCTTACTGTGACTAACAGACATACATGGAGCTGCAAACAACAAATGTATGTAGAAAAAAACATATGGAATATAGGAAGTGAATAAGCAGCCCTTCTAATTTGAACTTCCATATCCACTGGAGGAAGATGGAGTAAATGTTGCCCTCCACCTTCAAGTCCTCTAAGAGTCCTCTGACCTCCTCTTATATCTGTAGGCTAATGTTTAAAATGTGTTCAGCTCCACTTGTTGCGTCTACACGAGAGGGACAGCTGTTCAACCTTCTGTACACTGGCAGCTATGGAACATTAAACATTGATTTTGTGGAGGGACGTATGCTGCCTGTAGAACCACTTTGGCCTTTGTTATTGCCCATATGTCTTATATTAGTGTGTAACTGCTCTGAGGTTACCAACAATATTTCTGTGTAGGTTTTATTTGTGGGTCCAACGTTAGGTGCAGTGTGGAGGAAAACTCATTTTACTCATCCTCACCTTCCGTTCTGTCATGTCCTATAGGATATTAAGAGATCGCCTTCTTAATGACTTCATGTAATTACATTTTTAATTTAATGAAGGTATAAGTCATTTTATTCTTAATGTCTATGTTCGTTGCTTCGTTTGAACACAAAATAATGGCAGTTTTTCAGTATTTCTGTGAACATACATACATATATCTCTTGAGACTTAAAAGCAGAGTTAGTTGGCCAGCAGTGCCTGTGTGGGAAAGCTCATCACGCATTAGCGGTAAATTAAGTATGTTTGTGGAAG